AATTCTTTGGTGCTAAAAGTCCTGATTTTAAACAGAAAGTTTTTTCAACTTAGGAGCCCTTAACTATTAAAATTATGGTTGACTATTGCTATTTCTCCCAGTTTATAATTATATTTATCAAAATAAAATGATTGTACATTGTATATAATGTAGTACTAATTTTTTCAGTTTTAATGAAATAATTTAGGTCCATGTGCATAATACATGCAAACAGTAATAAAATACTTATAAAATTAAAAAATTTCCTTTCTCCCCTACCCCCTAGCCCAGCATTCTGAATCTTCACCAAATGCAGCCACTTTTTTAGCTTACTTGGTGCTTCTGGAACTTAACCCAGCTTTGTGCACAGTCACTGTCCCTGCGAGAGTCCTCGCTTGTCCCACTCTGGTCTGCATCGATACTCTCTGGTTCCCTGCATGGTCACACTCCTGGTTCTTCCCTTTAGCCCATCCTGGGAATTCCCTTTGCCTGGTACCTCTGTTGTGACTCCTGTTTCTTGGATCAATATTTCTTTCTCTTTCTTTGATTTATCCCCACCCTTTGGGTCTGCTAGATAATATTTTCTAGCTGCTCCCTAGGAAAAAATGCTTTGAGGTGGTTGTGTTTGTTTGTTTGTTTGTTTGTTTGTTTGTTTGTTTGTTTTTAGAAAATACATGTCTCAAAATGTCTTTTCCCCCCCCACCTTCCTGCCTGAGGATTTGGTTGGTTATAGAATTATAGGTTGAAAGTCACTTTCTGTGAGACGTGGGAGATCATCCCACTGCCTTCTAGAGTCCAGTATCGCTGTACGTATAATGATGTGTGATGCCCCCCCGATTCCTGATCCTTTGTAGATACCCCAGTTTTTCTCTGGAAAGCTTTAGAAATGTCTCTTCATCCAAGTATAACGAAGTCTCACTATGACATACCTTGATGCTATTTCTTAGAATTTAGTTTGATGGAAACTTTCAATCTGGAAATTCATGTTATTCCCTTCTGAGAAATTGTTTTGTACTATTTATTTCCTTCTGTTTTCTCTGATCTCTTACTAGTTAGATATTAGACTAATTTAATTGATTCTTTTATTTTTATATTTTTCCTTTTATTTTTTCCCATCTCTTACACTTTTTGTTCGACTCTTAGGAGATTAACTTGGCTATATAGTATGAAGTGTCTACTATCGAGTCTCTATACTGATTAGTTTTAGCTAACAATATAATGTGAATTTTAATCAATGCATTTAGCTACATTATTTTAATGTACTTCATTTATTTAACTAATAAATAGTTAAATATAGGCATGGTATTTGTCTTTTTATTTTGGCAGCTTCCCTGTTTGTTTCTATGTGTTAAGTAGAGCTGCTATGACTCTGTGTCTTGGTAGTGTGGCCTAATGTACTAGGTATCCTGTAGGGTCCTGTGGCACAGCCTCCCTTATCACCCGAACTAGGTACTCAAGTTGTGCCTAGCTCAGGTGATAAGGGGCTGTGTGGGCTGTGTACACCCTCCTTAAAACAAAGGGATGTTTCAATTCAGAAGAAAGAAAAGTAAACCCACACCCAGTTAATGCAATCATTCTCCATCAATGTACATTGTATTGCAATCTTCTGTTTATATACGTCTGTCCTCAAAGTCTCTGAGCCACTTGAGGGTAGCGACTCTGCTTATTAGTTTTTAACATTCTGAGCACCTGGCATGTAGCACATCTTCATTTTATGTTTGCTGAAGTATACCTTTATTGGTCTTTAGGATGTAATAAATTGCAAAACACACCATTGATTTAATGACAGGTTTATCCGGGCACCACATTTGTATACTACATTTGTAAACAACTGTTATAAAACACATCCTCATTTCAAGAAAATTAAAATTCAAAATGTATGTCTCAGAGTGGAGGAAATTCTCTAAGTGTCCTTTACTGGACTTCCAATCTCAAAAACACTGTGTACTTTGGCTGCGTTATTCAGAAGACGAAAATTCTTTAGTGTTGGTTATATTGACTCAAATCACCCTACTCTTCCTACAGAGTGCTTTTTCCAAAACCTCTGCCAATTACCACAGATTTATCTGTTACTGTGTTCTTGGGTTTCCATTTCTTTGTATTAAACCCTCCTCTATAAAATTCTTCAATGGCTTTTCATAGCCTTCTTTTGCCCTAAGGGCCCTACTGTTGGATTCATTTCCTCCTTCAGTGGCTCCCATTCACCTCGTCCTCGGTGTGGGCAGTGGGCAGCACTCCTGCAAGGCCCGGACCCCGTCCTTTCTCAGTCCTCACTAGTGGTATTCAACCCTGGCCGCACATCACAGCAGCCCTTTAAAAACGTCCAAGCCCGGATCCCAGCACACATTAATGGAATCAGTCAACTTGGACTGAAATGTTAGTTCTGTGACCCTTAATCATGTAACTTGACCCCTAAAATTCAATTAAGATGATGTTAAAGTCTGCTTCATCACAGTACTGAATACATTCTAACTCCCCATCATTAGAGCAATTTTTTTCCATGTATTTAAAGCCCATGTTTCTTTGAAAGCTCACTCAAATCCCTCTTTCTTCCCAGAACCCTCCATAATCACTATTTATTTTGGCTCGTTTGCAAAGCACACTAGAAACCAAAGATGGGCCTGTTAAAAGTGAAATAGTCTCCTAGCTGACCTTCCTGCAACTGTTCTTGTCACCTTTCAATCCATTCTCCACATAGCACTCAACCATTCCAGTGTTCCTACAAAAAAAAATTGAACCATGTTGCTTCTTATTTTGAATCTTCTAATAAATTCCCTTCGTTCCTGGATTAAAATCCAAATTCTCTAATCTGGACAGGACGCAGGGTTCTAGAAAATCTAACCCCCATCTCGCTATCCTCCCGTGGCTTTCTGTAGTCCAGCTGCACTGGTCCCAATTTGATACACCCTTCCCTGCTGCAGGGCCTTGCGCATGCTCTTTCCTCTGCCAGGAACGTGCTTACACTCACTTTTTCAAAGCCAGCTCAGTGAGCTCTTCTCTGATCGTCAGTCCAGGTAGATGCCCCTAGTAAAGCCTCTTTATACTCCATAAATGCCCTTTGTGATGAAATGTTTTATCATAAACTGGACTGAATAGGTACAAGTATAAACTTTCTCTTGAGCAGCCTCTCATAGTGTTTGATTTGTTGCCATAGCATGGATTTTATTTGCAAGTGAAAATTATTTAAAAGCATGAAACATGGTATAATGTTCTTTAAAAGTCATTTAGTTGTTGAATGTCTCTCTTCCTCTAGAATACAAGTTCCAAGACTGGCGTACACTGGGCCTGTTTTGTTCACCACTGCAGCCACAGGATCTAGTATTGCCTTGAACATAGGAAGTGCTGAATTTACTGAGTGATGGCTGCTGACTGAGAACAGAAGATGAAAATTAATTGGGAGGCTAAGCACAAACCTTGCCCAGGATAGAGATGGCCCTCAATTGCCCTTAGAGAATGCCAAGGGGCTGGGGCACTCCTGGGCCCGCCCTCGTCAGAATCCTATTCAGGAGCATCTTCCCAGTCTTTTAAGCAGTTGGATGATGTGCTTCAAATCTCACGAGGGTGGCCACATTTAGGTTACTGACATCTGAACTAGTCCAAAGTAGGACCTGAGCCAGAGGCTACTGATGAGTCCCGGGGGTCATCAATACACTAAGATTTTGTTGACTTTTTAAATTATAATTTTCTAGTTATAATTGCCTCCATTATTAATTTGTCACTCAACATACGCAACTTGGTTTTGTTATTTTCCCTCATGTATATCTATATGTAGATATCCAAATTTCCAATTGAATCTATAATCCCCTGAGTACAAGGTCTTTTTCACAAATAATTTGAATCTTATGACCTGGTACAATTCATATCATATTCCCTAGAAATGAACATTGCCAGCATTCTTTCACCCATCAGAAATGTTCCAAACCTCAGTATTTCTCAGATACTTTCTAATAAGTTTTTTAATGTTTAAATAAGTGCAGTAAAGTTTCACATTTGTCAATGCTTGTTGAAGTTTCCTTGATTTTTTCAGTGGCCTTTAATATTTTGGGTGGGGATTGGAAATATTTAATAGGAGGTTTGTAGGTAGATGCCTGCAATTTTATCTGAACAAAGTAGGATAGTGTAATTAGAACATGTGTTCTGTATGCAATAAATTATAACTATTTATCTGTGGTTTAAGTATAGGATATTCTTTATATATAAGATGCAGGAATTGCCCAGTGACATCTTTTGTCGTCCTGAGATTGTGTTGCAGTGACCAGGACTTTTGACAGAGGGGTTGAGGGTCTGTCTCTTTTTGGTGCTGTTTATGTTGTTGTAGTGTAGCAGAAAGAGACTAAAGTCCATGAATTTTGCACATACTTATGCTGTATCCCTCAATATGAAAAATGAGGTGAAAAAGGCTCCAGAAACCCTTTGTGGAGACGAAGCAAAGGCCAACAAAGATATTACCAAGTCTGTACTCTTGTAGGAGCAGTGCTAATTGATCCCTCCCTTCTTAGGAATCTGAATTATATGTTACATCCAGATGACAAACGTGGATTTGCTCTTTTCCTGTAATTTAACATACCTTGAGCCAGACATGTTTAATTTAGGTTAGACGCTGCCTTAAGATAGCATGAATTCAAGCCATTGTGTGACTTCAGTAGGATTACATTTATTAACCAAGATTACCCATTATGATGGTTTCTAGGCCAACAGCATGAAATGAGCTATTTTTTAAACCAAAAACAATTATATTGTTGTTTTCTGTAGAAAGAAGTACTTACATAGTTGAAGCTACCCTACTCATTCCATTGCTAGTCTTAATTGCTGCAGGCTGGTGTTCTTTACTTCCCCTATATTGTATGCTTGCTTTGCCCATTTTTTCCACTTAATTAAAATCTATGGATAGTGAAAATGCTGTGTTTATTAGGAATAAAAAAGAAATAAAGCAGTAATATACTTAATTTTTTAAAAAATCATCCCTTTTACAAATTTAGGAAGGAAACTAATTAATTAAAAATGTATTCATATGTGCTTACCATGGGTTTTGGTATCTGTGGCTTATTTCATCAATAGCAGCTCGCCTTAGTTCTTTATGCTGTAAAAGGAAGAAAATTAATGTACCCTAATTCCAAATTAAATAGGCACCAACATGTCTAAGGGTTTGCATTCCTAACTGAAAGAAAATTCAGGGTGGGCAATTAAACAGAAAATGCTAAATTCAGTTAAAAGAAGGTGGGTTTTTTTATTCTATTTTTTTATTTATTTATCTATTTGTATAAAAGTACTGCACCATTCACATTCTTTGAATAAGTACACACTCAAAGCAAATAACTAAAATCATGACAATACTGCCCTAGCTTTTGAGAGGAAAAGACATCATCAGTTGTCTCATGTATAGTTGGGCATAATTTTTCCCAAACAAAGTTAAATTTGCATTATAAAGATTCATCTTATCAAAGGTATCTTTTATATTTTCAGTTACAGTTTACATTTGATATTATTTTGTATTAATGTCAGGTGTAGAGCATAGTGGTTATACAGTCACATACTTTACAAAGTGTTTCCCCCCAATAGTTCCAGTACCTGTCTGGCACACACACAGTTATCACAATATTATTGAGTATGTTCCCTATGCTGTACTGTACATCCCCGTGAATATTTGGAAATGACCAATGTGTACTTCTTAATCCCTCAGCCTTCTTTACCCAGTCCTCCACCCCATCCCCTCTGGCAACTCTGAGTCTAGAATTAATCAAAAAAGTGCAAAACCTGAAATAAGTATGACCCTATGTGTTTTACTTTCTCTCTGTACAAGGACAGATGTTAAGTTGCAAGAAGAGTGTCGTTAGTGATCTGTGTCTGAATAAACAGGCCTTCAGGACTGCTGTTTATCACTCAGACTCAGAGGATTTGGGCCTTTTCCCTTTACCTTCATAGAATTAGAGAATGTGGTGCTAATAACATATGGAAGATGTGTTAATCCAGCTAATAACAGCTGGATTATACACAGGTAGCTGTGGTAAAGTGTAGATCTGAAAACTCCTTTCAGAAAGCATGAAATATTTGTTAGCTTAGAACCAGTTCTCATGTAAAAAAAAATCTCACACCCTCTGGTGTACATTGAAATTATCACTGAGTAAGTGATCTCTGCCTCCTTTTCCCCAGGAGCTAGCGAGTGGATGGCACATCTTATGCATAAGCATGGGAAGTAGGGGTGTCAGATTTATATTGAAAAGGGTTTTGATTTGTAATCATTTCCAGGTTTTCCATATTGGGGTTGGGAAATAATGATAAGGATTATCAAAAGTATTTCACTTCAGTTTTAGAATGCATTTTTTGCTTACATTGACATGGGATGCTACATTTGTACAAACTAGTAAAATCATTATTATAATCTCAATAACATAGGATTTTTAAAAGTCTCCCCTTTTTTCCCCTCAAGCTTTGGTTTAGAATGACTTTTCTGGTCAAGTGCTTCAAAGTTACTTGTTTTAGAAAAGCAGATCTACTTACTTAATTCACCTACTCAGGGATAAAGTCCTGAAGCCTTGATCCCTTCTCCCTAATGTCCACACACAGAGTAAAGAAAGTGACAAATGGGATTTTAATGCAAGGCTGCACCACTATTCCACAGAAAACTGGGAAGTTATTGTCTGTATGTAATGAAAAGATTGTGGTATAATATTGTTTCTTCAGTTGACTTCTGACACATTGATTTCCTGAAAATTGATCTTATCAATTGACTTATAAATAATTTTATTGTCAGCTTCTGGACAAATTGTTTGGGATTTCAATAATCTCCTCTGATCTCCATTCACATTTTTAAGAACCAAAAATTGCATCTTCTTAATCTGAAAAGACTTTTCTTAGAAACAAAATAGTAGATCCTCTCCCTCAGTTTCTTCTACAGATATTAGTGTATAGCGTCATAAAACTTTTGTTATCTAGAATAAGCTGTCCCTTCTCTATTGTAATATATTAACAAAATTCTTCATGATTTTTTTTGGACAGTCACGTTCACTGTGGTGTTAAATCTAGTGAAATTCAGAATCAAGAATATCATTTTTTCTCTGGTCAGCTGTTTATGAGAGTAAATAAATAACTGCTTCAAAAGTGAATTCAACATCTTCATAGAAACAGCTAACAATGATTGGTATATTCTCTATATTAAGGAAATTAGTGAAAATCTTTTACAGTAATTTGAATGTTTTCAACTAGCAAAAATAATAACTCAAAATTAGATATTTCCTATTAAGCCACTTTTCAAAAGTTCTCAGCATTAATAAAGGGAAATATCTGCTAACTACATTCAGATACTATAAAGTAGACACAATTTCTGAATGACTTAAAAATTGTTAAATTTGACTTAGTTGCAGACATTTGGGGCTCACTCTAGCTAACAATTAAAATCATTGCTTTATACTTCACTCTTAATCCCAAACCCTTTTAGTGTAGTCCTGACAGACAGGAAATTTGGGGGGATTGATCACTGAGAAATCCTTTTGCTTTGTTGCCATACTTAACTTAAGATGCTTTTCTTAATGTATTCAATTTTGATTTTCCTTACTAGAAAGTACCATTTTCCGTCTCTATAACTGTGAGGTCTTTCTCTCCAGTAGAATAAATATAATGGTGATGCATTTTAAGAATGCATAGACACTAGGGTTTCTCTTCTCCATCCTCCTCCTTGGTAACATAGAGTTCTTAGTACCAAACATTTGAGTGGAAAATCCCCTAAGGCTACCTTTTCTTATGCTAATAGATTTTTTCCTTCACTTGCCTCAATTTGCAAAATATTACTGTTAACCCCTTGAGTGCCTTTCTTCCCACATCCTGTGAGAAGCATTCTCATTGTTGTAGCTGGATCACCAAGTTGCATAATGTTGTCTATTCTGGACTAGAACTATTATAGGGAGCAAGGGGGCATAAAAGACTTTGTGTAAATGGAGCATTTAAAGTACTCATTTTATATTCAGAGCATGAGCAGAAACAAAACAATTCTTTCTGGAAAATGTCAGTGTTTAAGGCATGGACTCTGTGATGCATTTTTCTTATTAAAAAGCAAAAAGTGAACAATGCAGAGACTCATACTTCATTTTATGACACATTACAATGTGGGCACCAATATGAATTATATTCTGGTCTTTCTCATTTTTTAACTGCAGTGTTTTTAAATAATTTGCAAATGTACATCAACTTTCAGCGAACAGACTAAACATTGAGTTTTGAGAGTTTGTTGCTGGTGGCCCCAGTATCTCTGTTTTTTGTGGAGTGTATAAATGAGCAACATATTCCATTGTCTCTAACATGCTTATCATAATATAATTCAAAAATCCATGAAAGCAGAAAAATAGAGAATATACAGATATTAATGATTCTAGATCCCGTTTATTGAGACTTATTACACTAGACAGTGTGCTAAGTGCTTTGCACACAATCCATTTAACAATCCTCTAAGGTATTATTATCATCCTTGTGGCAGACAGAATTCTATGATGACCACCTTCCCCCCTCAGCTCCTCTCACCCCACCCTCACCAATATTCTCACCCCTTGGGTATACACACTTTCTCCCAGGCATTGACCAAATACTAATCTAAGTACTGCTGTGAAGGAATTGTGTAGATGTAATTAAGATCCCAAATCAGTCGACTTTAAGAAAGGGGAGACAGTCCTCAGTGGACCTAAAGTAACCAGGTGAGCTCTTAAAAAGATCTTGGCTCTTACTGGCAAAGGGGATTTAAAGCATGAGAGGGGTTTGACTTGAGGGATATTTTCTGTTTCTGACTTTAAAGATAGAGAAGGTCGCCTAGTAAGGACTGTGGGCGGCTTCTAGGTGCTGAGAATGGCCCCTGGCTAACAGCCAGCAAAGAAATACATCCTCAATCCTACAACCACAAGGAACCAAAATCTGCCACAACCACATGAACTTGGAAGAGACCCCTAGCCTCAGATGAGATCACAGCTGGAGCTGGGACCTTTATTTTAGCCTATGAGACCTGAGCAGAGAACCCAGCCATGCCTTCCCAGGACTGCAGACCTATGGAAATAGGAGCAAATAAACGGGTGTTGCTTTAAGCTGCTAAATTTGCGATGATTTGCTGGGCCCAAAGGAAAACTAATACAATCCCCACTGTATAGGTAGGAAAACTGAGACATAAAAAACAGTAGGCAGACTAGCATGCAAAGAAAGAGAGGGGAAAATGAAGTTTTTCACTGGGCTACTTTCACTTATAAATCAGATTCTGTTTTTCATTAAGGCCACAAACATAGATTTACCCTGAAAAGCATTATGAATGCCAAGTTGCCTCATTTGTTCTGAGAGAAGGCAAATATCTCTTATTTTCTCCCTGTACTACTCCAGTGACAGTAATGTTTTCCTTATTCACATGTTATGAATTATTATTATTCACAATAGTATTCCTGTAATTCAAGATACACTAGGATTTCCTTTTCAAGCAAAACTAGAACTCATTCTGTTGGGAATCGTTAGGATTTGCGATGAGCAACCAATCATTCTGTTATGAGCCCTTTATTCAGAGTTGGTCGATGATCCCTACCGGAGCTGGAAATCTGAGCAGCTTCAACTATTTAAGCTACAGAAAAGCTTCCCAAGTCTGTATTTGTGCTCAGTGCACAGTTTCTGAAATATAACCAAGTACCTGTTTTGCAACTGTTCTCACCCTTGGAGTTTTCTAATATATTGGCATTAATGTTAATTCAAAGGTTAAAAAAGTGTGTTTCTCCCAAGTTAATTGTGCAGTTAGTTTCAAAATATAGAATTACACTAGGTGTGGTACTTCAGACATTGTGAACAGTAATAGTAGAACTAAGTGTCAGTAAAAAAAGTAAGTGGTAAATAGTTTTCAAACAACTATTGAATAACCTAGGAGTAGAATAGCTCTGAATCCAATGCTCACTTAAACATTCATTTCTCCCCTTCTATAACCTGGTCTCTCAACAAAGACACTGTGTGAGGAAAGAAACAATCTCAGTCTCCATCTCCCCTGTTTACTGATAATTGTCTCCGCCGTTTTAAGCACCAGGAGGTGTGGAGTCGATGTTGTCGGTACAAGGTCAAATGAAACAGATCTCA